TGCTACCGCTTGCATTACCGCTTGCGCTACCGCTCGCGTAGTAGCGCTGCGCGCCGTCGGTCACGGGCGCGTCCGCCTGCGGCGGGCTCGCGTAAAAGCGCGCGGAGTCGGCGCTCGCCGCACTGCCCGCGTGGAAACTCGCGTCGACGCTCTCCGCGCGCGGCGCGTCGCGGTAGTTCTGGTTTAGCACGTTCGTCGGCATGCCGCTCTGCGCCGGCGGCACGGCCACCACGGACGGGTTGGCTTGCACCGCGCCGGCGACCGCAAAGGCTGCAGCCTAGCTGGCGTGCCGTGGGACCTACCTTCAGAAGTCGCGTCATTTCGGGTTGCTGCTCGACGCGCACTCACGCCTCGCAATCCAGATCGGGCGAAAAATGAAATAATAGACACGCATTTAACAGCTTTTAATACACTTTTTCGGAATTCAGTTCTCGCTCGGCCCGCTGCATGACGAAATGCAGTAACTGCAACAAGCCTCTCGAGTCCGTAGAACGCTTCCTGCCGGTCCAGCCCCAAAACGCGAGCGACGTGCAGTCTGCGCCGCTCTGCGCGCCCTGCGCAGAGCACTTTTACAGCGGCGCCGCTGCAGCACCCGGGCACAGCTCTGCGACGACGTACGCGCACCTCGACCGCGCGCCCGTGTACAGCGCCGCGACGCTGTACGCGACCTGCAACTCGCAGCCCTCTGCGAACGCCTACCCGCCGCTGCCGGACTCGCAGCCGAGCGCACCGCCGCTGTACAGCTACAAGCACGTGACGCCGCCGGAGCTGCTATTTCAGCCGCGCGAGCCCGTGTCTTCCGCCAACTACGTGCCTCCGGACGCGCCCGCCGATGCGGAGGGCCGGCCGAATCGCAAGCCGCACAACATCCTGCTGAAGAGCTTCGCCTTCAACCGGCTGATCGACGAGACCAACCCGCTCGGCATCTCTGCGCTCAAGCACCACTTCCTGGCTGGCTGCCGCGCCAGCATGTTCATCATGCTCGTCGGACTCGCGGGCGCCATCGCGCTCTTGATCTACTCGCACGCAGAGGCGCCGCTCAAGCGCAAGACCTTGCGGCGTCTTTGACCGCGACTCAGTTTTTCGTCTTTTTCGGCCGCAGTGGCACGACATAACGCCAATTATTTTATATCGGAACTTAATTCGACAGCCCTAGGTCATGGCAGGCGGCCCGAAGAAGCACCTCAAGCGCATCGCTACCCCCAAACACTGGTGTCTCGACAAGTTGAGCGGCGTCTACGCGCCGAAACCGAGCGCCGGCCCGCACAAACTGCGCGAGTGCGTCCCGCTCGCCGTGCTGCTGCGCAACAAGCTGAAGTACGCGCTCTCGTACGACGAGGTCAAGCTGATCGTCATGCAGCGGCTCATCAAAATCGACCAGGTCGTGCGCACGGACCGCCGCTTCCCCGTCGGCTTCCAAGACGTCGTCAGCATCGAGAAGTGCAACGAGCACTTCCGCATGCTGTACGACACGAAGGGGCGCTTCGTCGCGCACCGCGTGAAGCCTGAAGAGGCGCAGTACAAACTGTGCCGCGTGCGCCGCGTCGAGATCGGCAGCAAGGGCATCCCCTACGCGTACTTCCACGACGGCCGCACGCTGCGCTACCCGCACCCCGACGTCAAAGTGAACGACACCATCAAGTACGACCTCGCCAACAAGAAAGCGCTCGACCACTTCAGCTTCGGCGTCGGCGCGCTCGTGATGATCGTCGGCGGCCACTCCTGCGGACGCATCGGCACCGTCACCGAGATCAAGTCCACGCCCGGCTCCAAGAAGATCGTGCACTGCGCCGACGCCGCCGGCGCCGTCTTCACCACCGTCAGCGAGAACGTGTTCGTCATCGGCTCGCAGAACGTCAGCGCCATCACACTCGAGGAAGAGAAGGGCGTGCGCAAGAGCATTGTCGAGGAGCAAAGCAAGCGCTACACCGTCTTCGCCTAATTTTCGTAACGCAAAACTTTTATTTCCCAGCGAACGCCGAGATGCCCACGCAGCAGTGGGTGCTCGAGCTCGTCGACGCCGAGGGCGTCAAAGAAATCCGACTGCCCGACCACTTCGAGTTCTGCGCGACGCTGTGCGCACAGGGCGAGCGCCGGTTCGGCGTGCGCTTCAACGGCTTCGACAAACACGCGATGCCCGACAGCCGCGGCACCGCCAACTTAGTTGTCGGGAAAGCCTCGCTCAACGTCGTGCCCTTCAGCAAAACGCAGCTCTACGGCCGCGTCGCGGAACGCGGCGCGATCGCGACCTTCGAAACGCGCCATCTGGCTCTCGAGGAAATCGAAAAGCCGCGCAGCGCGACGCTGGTCACGACCGCCGGCGCCTGCCTCGAAGACGTGGACCTCTCGCGCGAGTTCGTCGCAGTTTGCCCAAAGACCAACGCGCCCGTCTACGTCCCATCCGTCTTGAGCAAGGTACGCTAGCGCGGCTGCCGCTTCGCGCCGTGCCCGCCAACTCCTGCGCCGCTGCAGCTAGCGCCCCGCGCGGTCTGCAAAACGACCGCTGCGTCTCTGCAAACCCTTCTGTGCTGCTGCTCCCCGCGCTCCGCGCGACACGGCTCGCGAACGTTCGCTAAACTGCGCTTCGCGCTGAGCTCTTCAAACCACTTTCCAAGCTGTTCGCCAAACTTTGCTCCGAGTGCTCTCTGAGTCGATCCCTAAGTCTCCTCTGCATTGCTTTCTGCGTCGCTTTCTGCGTCGCTCTCTGCGTCGCTCCCTGGGTCGCTCCCTGCGTCGCTTCCTGCGTCGCTGCCTGCAGCAGGCACGCTGATTTTCCGTTTGCTTTGCGCGCCAGATTCTGACTCGCTTTCGCTACTGCACGCCGCTGGTTCAAACGCGTACGCATCACCATCATCTTCCGATCCGCTTTCCGCGCCAGAACTGCCGCCGAGCGCGTCCGCTTCTTCGTCGAAGTCGGAGCCAAAAGAGTCAGACAGCTCGTCGCCGCTCGCGCCAGCCGCTTTCAACTCTTCGTCTTCCGACAGCTCCGCCTCGTCAGACTCGCCCTCTGGTCCGCTCGCGTCTTCGCCGCTCGCAGCCTTCTCAACTTCCTTAAAGCTGAACGTCTCGAGGTCGAGACTCGCGGTCGGCTTCAGCGCAAACTCCAGGTAGTTCTTAAACGGCAAGTTCGCGCACTGCCGCTCCACGCTCTCCCAGAACGCACAGCAGCGAGGGTTGCCGAACAAAATCACGAGCGCGTCGTCGCACGGCTCTTCGCTCGCGACCCGCTGCTTCACAAATTGCGGCACCGTCTGCCCCGTCAACGCCTGGAACACGCAGCACCCGCTCAACATCTTGTTCAAAGCGTGCGCCGAAACCGCAGCGCGCATTGCGGCCGCAAAAGCCGCGTCCGCACTCTTCGCGTCGATTTGCGTCAGCACTGAATGCAAATAGTCCCAGCCCGTCAATTGATACGCGTAGTTCCCGAGGTCGACCTCGGCGTCCGAGTCGTCTATCTCAAAGTCGTCGCAGCAGCTCTCGCGCATCTTTTCCGCCGTGGCGCGCAGCGCCGCGACGAAGTCGCGCACCACGCTGAACACGCTGCTCTGAAACAACGAGAGCTCCCAAAATTTGTCGTTGAAACTCTCAATCGCTTCCACGTTGTAGCTGCTCAGCGCCAACGGCTCACCGCTGCGCTCAATTTCCTTCCCGCCGAGCGATTCTGCCACCCACTCGCCGAGCAGCGACTCGTCGCTTCGCAGCACGCGCGACACTAGCGCGAGAAACCCGATTTGCTCCGACGCCTGGTCCATCGACGAACAGCACACCGCCAGCCGCTTCATCAGCGCAGCTTTCGCAAGCGCCGACAGCCCATGTCCAGCGATCAGCCCGGTGCAAATCTTCAGCCACACCGCCGCCGTCTTCTGCGTAAACAGCGAATGCCTGCCCATTTTGTCGTGCAAGTTAGACACGAGCGACACCGACAACTTGTCGTGCGAAATCTGGTGCGCCTTCAACAACAAGCTCCAGCCCTGCAGCGCAGCCATCGGCGGAATGCGCGAGTTGCACGCCTCGAGTTGCAGCCGGCACAGCTGCTTCAAGTAGCCGGCCGCTTTTTTGTTCAACAGCTTCTCGCGATGCGCCTCCTCGAAGCTTTGGAAGAAGGGCAGCAGCCGGCGCACGCCCAAAAACAGCAGCCGAAGAATTGAAGAGCCGAGCACCGAGTACGCGATACCGAGCAACGCGCAGCCAGCGCTCGAACTCAGAACCTCAGAGGCGCGCGATTGAAGCTCTTCCGCTTCGAGCTTGTTCTTCTCGAGCTTTCTGCCGAGAGCAAGGGCCAACTTTGTGCGCTTCGCCAGCGCTTTGAAGTCCGGCTTTCTGTATGCCACCTCCATCATACGCACGTAGCAACCGAGCTGCTGCACGCAAACTGCGTCGTTCGTCGAGTGCACTATGTCGTTGAGAAACTGCAGCAAAGACGTCAGCCGTGCGTAAGCTTGCGCGCCGCCTGAGAACTTCTGTGCGTTCTCCAACGCGCACGCCTGCTTCAGCTGTCGTAGCCGCTCTTTGTACTTGCGCTTCACGCGCACTGTGTCGAAGCCGGCCTTTTGCGCCAAGTTGTGCAGTGCTAGACTTTGGTCGACTTTGATCGCGTACACAGCGTCTTCAATCATGCGACAGGCCTCGCTCTTCAGCGCAGGATGCTCCGACAAAAACTTGCCCAGCATCAGCTTGACTTCGCCAGCCAACTTCGGTTTCGGATCTCCGAGCGCGCCGACGATCAGTTTCAGCAGCGCCATCCGTTGTTCTTCGAACTGCAACATGCCAATCAACTGCCGGTACGCAAGTCTGCGCACAAAATCCACGCTATCGCCCATCGCAGCGCGGTAGAACTGGAACAGCGCAGCCTGCAGCCGCACGCGCAGCTCCGCGAAGCCCAGCAACACCAGCAGCTTGAGCAGAGCGATGTCGTTCAAGTTGAAGCCGAAGTACGCCAGTCCGACTTTGCTGCCGCGGCGCACCAAGAACCGCTGCAGCACTGCCGACTTCTCGAACTGCAACAAAGCGTCGGCACCGTCCGGCGCGCGCAGCGGCGGGACGGGCGGGTTCGCGAGCAAACTCTTTTCGGTCCACAGTGAAGCAGCCGACTCCATCAGCGCTTCTTTCTCAGTGCGGTTTTTGCACGAGCAGCGCTCGAGAAAAAACTCGACGCAACGCGTAGCGAGTACGGGATTGTTCTCAAACAACAACACGTTCGAAAAGTAGCGGTCCTTCAGCAAGCCCGTCTCCACCATGCTACGCGCCCACTGAATTTCAGAACTCTCGCCCTCTAAACTATCTAGGTAGCGCGTCGCGACCTTTTTGTTCACTTCCACAGCAGCACGGCTGAAGAAGTGCGCAGCCAACTGCTCGGACGCAAACCAAAACTGAATCTCTTCTGGAGCGGCAGCCAACTTGTCGAGCAGAATCTTCAGCAGCGCCGACCAGTGAAACTTCGAGAAGTCAATGTCCTCGAAATACCGAAACACCTCTGCCACCACGCGCGACTTGACCTGCTCCACCATTTTGCGGACGCTCTTCTCTACGGCAGCGACGCTTTCCAAACACTTCGCGGCCTTTTCGCCGCGCCGCTCCTCAACAGGCGCGTCTTGGGCGGCAACGACAGACGTCCGAGCCGCTTTTCGTGCGCTCCTGCTGTCTCTTGACATATGAGAGTCGCTGCACGCAGCGCGAGTCAACAGTAGCAAGAGAACGACGCGTTTTGGAGGATAGAGCCTCGGCTTTGCGTTTTCGTAATATAGGGGATTTTACGATTTATTATGAATAAGGTAATCGGCGTAGTTCGAAGTAGCTTGCTGGCTTCGCCATGGCTGTTCAGTTTCTGTCGAGGCGAGTTCAACCCTGTGCAGCTTACGCTGACGACGCACACGGATATCAGCTTTACGCAGTCTTTCAAGACTGCTCTAGACAAGACGCCAGGACTCATTTATTACCACTTCAGCGGCCGCGCGGCAGAGAACCGCTTGAAGAACATTTTGGAAGAAGTGTCCAAACTCGCGTACGGCTATGCACACGTCGGCTCCGTCAACTGCGACAAGTGGAAGGCACTGTGCGACAGCGAGCTCGGCAGCGAGCCACTCGATAAGGCCGGCGCGTTGTACCTATATCCGACTTTCCCGATGCCCAAACGCTTAATCACAAACTGGGAAGCGGAAAAGCTCGTGAAGCGGCTGCAAAAACTGATTCCGGCCGCTAAGCTGCGCAGCATCAGCGACGAGGCTGAAGCGCGCAAGTTTTTGCAGGAAGAACCAGGCGTTCCCAAGGTGTTCGTATTCACGAAAAAAACCTCTACGCCGCCAGTGTTTTCCTCGCTGATTTCAAAGTTTGACGACCGAATTAACTTCGCCTTGTGCGCCTCCGAAGCAGTCAGCGAGAAACTCGGCGTCAAGCCTGACCAGTGGCCTGCCATCGTACTAAAGAAAGGCAGTCAGAAGCTTTCCTCGCGAAACGTAGACGTTTACCGCGGCGAACTGAAGTACGAACCGTTGTTCAAGTTTCTCAACCTGGCTGCCGAAACGTTCGTGAAAGGCGGCGGCTACGTGTCGAGCGACGAACTCAAGTCAGACCAAAACTACAAGCCCTGGCTGTATGAAGAAATTCCAGAGGTCACCGCGCGCTCGTTCAAAGAGATCTGCAGCAAAAGCCAAAAGCAGTTCTGCATCATCTTCGTGCTGCAGTCTGCAGACGAGGTCGAAAAACTGAAACCGCTCGTGCGAGAGGTGCGCAAGAAATACTCCAATTCGAAGAACAACTACAAGTTCATGTGGCTTTCTACTGCACTTGCGAAGTTGAACGACCTGCACCAGTACAGCGTGATCGGTCTGCGCTCGCAACGCGGCCGGTACACTTCTACGAGCGACGCAGTGAACAGCGATATGCTCACGCGATTTTTAGAGACGATCGAAGCTGGCGCGTCATACGCCAAGATGCCCGACTTGA